TGAAAACCCCTGCTTTAGACAGCATGACGGGAGAACTGAACCTGGGTCTCCCACATGCCAGCTGAGTGCTCTAACCACGGGGGTAAACGTCACAAGCCGGGTGACATCACCAAAACCACATTCTCCTCCCCCCCCTCACATTTTGTGTGGAGTGAGGCAGGTGCCTACTTCATTCCAGCAGGAAACGCCTTAGGAGCCTGAGTCACCTGACGTCAGGTGCTGGGTTCCTGTCGGTGGGTGGCTAAGTAGAGACAGATGCCCCTCTGCTGTCCAGATTTAGATACCTATCTGTGGGGGGGGGGGGGGGGGTTTGGAACCCCTGCCCCCTTGTCACCTTTCCCATTGACTAGCTTAGATGGCTCCGCCCCGCCCCGCGAGCTGGCTTTTGTGAATCTCACTGTAAGGTGCCTGTGATCAGGGATTTCCCGACACCCCCCCTGAATTTTCCCAACACCCCCCTCCCCAGTTTTGTGAACTAGTTACATGCAATGTTGCCAATCTAGTGATTGTTTGGACATTTGAATTGAAACATTAATACACACTTTAAAAGCATATAAAGGGTATGATAAAATACATGTATCTGAAAAAGTATAATAGATTTGAAAAATATGAACATAGACTAGCTTCCTTATACAGCTGTTGTTTTTTATGACAATGTCAGTGCATTCATTTCGGTGATGTTGGCCAACCTAATAATTTCACATTATGATTTGTAAGCAAAGTTTAAATGAGCTCTCTCTGACAGCTAGTGATGAGCTGGGGGCTGGGGGGAAAGGCTTCAGGACCAGATTGTATTTACATTCACACTTAATCTACCTAGGTATCCAGCAAACAGAGCTGTGTTTCCCAAGTGATAGATTTTGGCTGGGGATGGGTTACAAATCACTTGAATACGGGGGGAGGGGGAATGAAATGTTGTTATTCTTATTGTATGAGTAAAGGGCAGTAGAACTGGACTTAGCCTGTGCTGATTTAGGGCATCAAGAGAGATTGTGGGGACAAGTGTTTTGCTTGATGGTCTGCCTGAGTCACAAGTACTATTTGTACCTGCCCCTCTCCACTGTTTAAAGACAGAACTGATTAGGCTCCATAGATAGTCTTTTGTTCTGTTAAGTGACCACTGCAGCTGAAATCACTGATAATCAGGTCTAAGTGCTTAGACCTGCTGTGGGACAGTGTTTCTGTGGAAGAGACGGCCCAGACTGCACTAGCAGCGAGGTTCCCCCACTGAGAGCTGAGCTGAAATCACTGAGAGCTGGTGGAACCTCAAAAGACCAACTCGTAGAGGTCACAGTGGCAGGTGGCAGCAGAAGGTGACAGCGCAGGGCCATTGGCAACAGAGTGATGGTGTGAACAGTGGCACAATCAATAACAGTGGCCAGAGCAAACAGCGAGCAGCTGGAAGAACGAGCAAGGTGCCTTCTTGCCCCCGACCTGGGAGGTGAACTCATGTGAAAGCACCTCTGAACTCTGAGTCTCCACTGGTGAGTATTAATGAGGCTGTTAGGAAAGCTGGAGACACAACACAGTTCATGCGAACAAACATGGCTGTGGCATCATACTTTCTATTTAAGCAAGAGATACCACATGCTACAAACTGAAGGCCAATGTTAAGTGCATTGTCACTTGTTCATCCTGAAGTGGAACACTGGTTCCGAACAAGACCAGCAAATGCTCACTATCTTTCTGCAAGAAACTCAACTGACTGGCTAGAAGCGTGTGGTGCAACAGTGAAAGACTCAACAGCTGAAAAAGTGAAGAACTCTCTCACCACATTCAAAAAAATTGCATACATGGCTGATGAATGCACCGATGCAAATGGGCATCAAGTATTAATGGGCTTTGTGTACGTTATCTTGATGTCAGGGCTAGGCCAGTAGATGCATTTCTAGATGTTCAAGTTATAGAAGACACATCGGCTGCATCTGTGACAACCCACATCTTAGAAGAATTAAATGCTTGTCAATTGGACCCCAAACAGATGGCTGCTTGTGCATTTGATGGAGCTGCAAACTTCTCTGGAAGACATGGTGGAGTACAAGCTTTGCTCAGAGAAAAGTGTATCCCTAATCTCTCCTATACACACTGCAGAGGCCATCTACTCCAACTAGTGCTAGTATGAGCTGCAGACTCTTCAAAAGACATTAAAAAAGCTATAAATGTAATGTCTTCATTATATTCTTTTTTCAGCAAGTGTCCAAAAAGACTGAATAGCTTGGAAAAATATAGAAGATACACTGGGACTGAAGTTCAAATTAGTCCAAACTGGGAAAACCCTCTGGCTTTCTCATGAGCGTTCTGTGGCTGTTGTCTTAAAATTACTCCAGCCGTTATTACTGGCTTTGGAAAGTATCTACCAAGATAGGATGGATCTAAGTAGTGAGGCTGGTGGATTACTTTTGCTACTACGTTCAGAGAAGACTATTGCCATTCTCTCTCTCTCGTAAGTCTACTGTTGAAACCATTTGGGTCATTAAACAATGCCATCCAGGCATCTACTACAACAATAGTAGATCTTTGTCCAGCAATAGAAGTTACATTTGGATCAATCAGAGAGCTAACCATTGAAAAAGTACTGGAAGAAGCAAAGACTTCAGTCCAGAAGTTGACTAATGAAGGCATTTATATTGAATCCTTAAGTGAAGAGGACAAGAAGGGTTTAAGACAACTGAAAAAGTACACAGACTTTATTCTTAAAAATCTACAACGGTGACTTCTAGATGCTACTCAACCTCTACGTAGCTTTTACAGATGCCTGACCTATAAAACACTGACATTTGAGTGGAGTGAGGCACTACCAGCAATGGGGCTGTCATGTGCTCAGGACAGAATAGAGAATTTGAACACAGAGTAGAATATCATATAACAAATGAATGAAGATTTGACTTCAACTTCTTTTTTTATCATTACTAGTGGCTCAACGCAATCTTTATGCTATGTTTCCTGGGATGAAAGAAGTAGGAATTCATCTCTTGCTACTCCCAGTCACAACAGCTGCAGTTGAACATTCTTTTTCATCATTGAATAGAATATTTTGTGTGTTGAAAGAAGTCACCTTCTGCCTGATCATGTGACTGAACTAATGAGCATATCAACTAAAGGAACGGAAGTACCGGACACACGAGAAGCCACCAAAGATGAACTCGTTGCATTCAAGAAGTTCATTAACAGAGTTGTGCAAAACTATAACAAGAAACCAAGAAGGATGTAGACATAATGCTTCATAGAAGGCTTGAGTAGCCAACTTTAATTTGTGTGATGATTTTAAAACATGAGTTAAATTTAATAAAATGGCCACGAAACATTTTTCAGTTTTTACTATGGTGCCATAGAGCTCACCTTCACCCTCACGGTCTCACCCCTCATCGGCCCTGACCACCACCCCCCCCCGCCCATAAATTCGAACACCCCCCCCCCCAATTTCAATTCCTGGGGAAAACAGTGCCTGTGATGCCCATGCACTGTGTAGGGAGTCCAGGGCCCAACTCAGCTTCGCAGAGTTGCAGACTGTGATTTTCTAGTTGCCCACAAATTAGGCCCTGCCATGACGCTCAGCATTGCAACACCAAGTCCCTTCATGGATTGCCCCCTGTGTAACCAGTCACCTCTCCGCAGAGCACAGCTGAGCAATTCCTGATTGACATGGGGGGAGGGATAGCTCAGTGGTTTGAGCATTGGCCTGCAAAACCCAGGGTTGTGAGTTCAATCCATGAGGGGGCCATTTAGGGATCTGGGGCAAAAATCTGTCTGGGGATTGCTCCTGCTTTGAGCAGGGGGTTGGACTAGATGACCTCCTGAGGTCCCTTCCAACCCTGATATTCTATTCTATGGGTGTACACAGGACAGAGACAGAGCACAGGCTGGAGAGTGACACATCCCAGTAAACCCCAAACTCTCCTCCTAGAGGCGCGATATTCCCTGAGGGGGTTGGGAGGACACAACCAAGTAAGAAAGCAAATCCCATGATGCTGCCCCCTGCAGCTGGGACATTAAAGGGGAACAAACTCGAAGAATTGTTTGTAATGTTTTATTTACAGAATTAAGGTTACCAACTTTCTCATGAACAACCTTGTCCCAACCCGACAGAGCTGAGAAGGAGCCTTAATAACCACAGCATGGCAAGGAGATTCCCCAGCTACTGAGAACAGTTTTCTTAATGGCACAACAACAGTACAGTTGCCCAGGAACTAATATAGGGAATTCATGAGTTACAGTCTCACATTCAGGAACTTGTAATAAATCTCTCTGTCCCTCTCACGTTCCCTTTCCTTCTCCCTTTTCTTTTATATCGTCCTTTTCTACTCATCATTTTTCTAGCCCGCATTTCCCACCACTGTTTATTTTCCTGGGTCTCTCCCACTCTCCTCTCCTCCCTCCCACAGATCATAACCTTTGGCATCTCCATTTCTGCCCCGGATTTTATCCCATCCCCTCTTGCTGCCCCCAGGCTGGTTCCCCTGTCAGGGATATTTTCCTGTCACTCTTCTCATTTCTGTTTTCCACCATTTCTCCTGGACTCTCCCTTTAGTCTTGGTTTATTTTCATTCACATTTTTCTTCTTGCGTCTTCTAATTCCCTCTGGTTAAACCCGCCCTGTCCCTGCCTCCCCCAGTGCTGCCAACCTCAGGAGTTTAAAAAAAAATCATGAGACTGACCCAATGATGATTTTTTTAAGGTTATATAATGGGTTTTTTGTCAATCTGCACCCATCTCCCCCTCCCACCTGTGTGTGACAATTACAGGGTTACCAGTTGTTCTGTAGTTACAGGGGAAGGTGACTTGGGCCCCTGCGGCAGGAGCTCTGGCTGAGACACCCCAATGAGATCTAATCCCACAGATCTGTACAAAACGCTCCCTGCTGCAGCTTCTCCCCAACCCGCCAAACCCTGATTGATTCATGCTGTGCCCCTGCCCAGCCCCCACCTCTGCCTGTCCCCAGCCCGGCTGTTAGTTCTGCCCCCTGCCCAGCCCCCACCTCTGCCCCTCAGGGCCCCTCTGCTTCTCCTGCAGCCCCAAGGGTTCTTCCCCTCTCCCCCTCCCATCCCTGGTGCTGCAGGGAAGGGGAGGGGCTTCCGTAGGTCATAGAGATGAGGCGCCAGGGGCTGGGTAGATGGGAGTCCTCCAAGGTCATACAGACTGCGGTGTGTGAGGCTAGAAAGGCTGATTTCCAGTTCTCCAGTGGGATATCCCCACCCCCACCCCCCCTCAGGGACACAGTCTGAGCTGGGATCCCAGCCACACCCAGAGCCAGGGTCGGATTCTCCCCCCAGGGATGGAGCCTGGCGGGAAAGTGAAGATCGGGGCCTCATCACCAGCATCAATAAATATCACCTGCCCCTGGTCACAGTCCAGACAAACCCAGATCCTGCTGGGGATCCGGCGCCGGGGAAGGGGGTTCTCAGGGGAGGTGAGAGCCCAGAACTGATCCCCCAACCACCCAACAGCCCAGATCCCCCCCTCAGGGCTACAGCTGATCCATCCCTTCCTCCTCACAGACTCTCTGGCCACCCCCACAGCCCAGCCTCCCCCACCCTGCACCTCCACCTCCCAGCAATGTCTCCCCGAGGTGAATCCCTCACAGCCCAGCACACAGGGCTTAGTGTCAAATCTCTCAGGGGTGTTGGGCAGATGCTGCCGTGTGTCTCCCCGTGTCACACTTTTCCAGTCCTCAGACAGGACGAGGTGGGGATGAGCCGTGTCTGGATCCAGAGTCACATTCACTGGGGAGAGAGAATCAGAGCGTTAGGGGCAGAGCTCGGCCCTGGGGGAGGCTGGGACCATTTCTCACACTCCCCAGCAGCCCTGTTCTGGCTGGGACAGGCCTGGATCCCAGGGAGCTGCCTCTGTCCTGGGCACCTGAGACTGAGCAGGGATGACACTGCAGCAACTCAGTCTTTAGAATGGGACTCACTTCATTAGTTTTTCATGTGCTTGCTGAGACTTCAGCTCCCTGCTCCCTCTGCTGGGGCTGCTCCATTCCCAGCATCAGAGACACAGCCAGGAAGGTTTTAGTGGGGAGGAAGCAGAGGAGGCAGGTACCAGCTTTGAACCCCAGAGGGAAGCTCCCTCCCCTAAATGCAGCCTCCACTCCCCGGCCAGAGTAGGACGAGCCAATTAAGAAAACAGAGTAGGAAATGGCATTGTGTGGGGTGGTCCCACTCCCAGGCCAGGGAACAGAGAGGAAGGTCCAGCATTGGGGAAGAGCTGCTTAAGAGCAGAGAGTAGGAGGTGGCATTGGGTGGGGTAGCCCCTCCCCAGTCTAGAGAGAAGGGAGGAGCTGACAGCCTCACAGGGAGACCATCTCCCCAACAGAGGAAGCAGTGAGCAGCTCCAACGGGAGAGCCCAGCCCTGCCCAGAGGAAAGGCCGGATGTTGGAGAAGAGCAATGGGGAGACACCCTGCACTGGGGTAGAGCAGAGGGATGTGTCAGCCCTCAGGGCAGAGAGCTCTGTTCACAGGCTGCTCAGGGAGAGTGTTTCTGTTCAGCAGCGTGGGCATGAACTCAGCACTAAGGTTTGTGTCAGGAGTGTTTGTCTGTAGGGTGACCAGACGTCCCGATAAAATCAGGACTGTCCCGATATTTAGTTGTTTGTCCCACGTCCCGACGGATGTATGGTTGGAACGCCATTTTTTGCACTCCGGCATTTTTTTTTTATTTTTTTGCTTCGGCAGCGCTCCCCCTCCCCCACATGTCCCGATATTTTGTTCTTGTCATCTGGTCACCCTAGTTCGTGTGACTTCAGCATGGGAGCTCCTCACTGTTCAGTGTGTTGTTTTTAGGGCTGTGTGTGTCATGGGCGGTGTCAGTTTGGCTGGTAACTTTAGGTACAATCTCATGAAGACATTTTGTGATAATTTAAAGACAATCTCCAGCTGCAATCTCACCCTCTCTGAATGTTCCTAGGAATCCTCCTCTTTTCATCTCTAGTGCATACGGCAGAGTGTCTGGAGGGGGGGAAGGAGAAAGGAGATGAGATTTCAGCCTTTCATATTTATAACAGCGTCCCCACTCTCAACTCATAGAACTGTCTTTTAATTATGACAGAGAAACACTAAGATATTTAATATAAAAAGGTCTGAAACCGTCTCTTTCCTCTCTCATCCAGGCATCTCCCAGAAATGGAACCAACATCCTTACAGCCTCACAACCATCCCAGGATAGACAATCTGTCAGTGAGATTTACTTTCCCCTCATCACCCCTCCAACCCTTCAAACTCCAGTTGGTTTGTCTCATTCACTTACTGCCTTTTGTCGTAACCTAGACCCAGAGCCTGCAAAGACTTTGACATAAAAGTAACATTACCCACTTGGGTCCCTTTGACACTAACGGGATATTGAGAGTTTCCTAAATCCTGGCTCTAATTGTGAGCTGTTGGGTCTGTTTACTCAGCGTCTCTACAGAGAGCAGCAGGACGGGGCCTTGTCCTCCACAGGCAGAAAAAGAAATAATAGTAAAAGCATTTTATAAATGTGGAAATTGAAGTGGGGGGAAGGTTGACACAATGGGACATATTCATCCCTATTACAATGGCCCCCATCTGTCTTGGCCAATGTGCAGAGTTTCAGAGGCCCAGCTTTACACTGCCCATGTCGCTCTGTCCCTTGTCTACCCCCCTTCCTCTTCCATCCGCCCTCACCACTCCCACCCCATTCCCAGCCCTCTCAGGAACCCACCTTGTGCCTGCAGCTGCTGTGGAGGAGGTACCAGAGGCTCCTGTACTGGAGGGATCCCTGCCCATGGGGGAGGAGTTTTCTCCTACCCTGCAGCCCATTTGGCCCAGACTAGCTGTCGTATGGGACCAGAGCACAGTGTTGGGCTGGGTGCGCCTGTGAGAAATGTGCCCCATGGCTGGTGATGGGGCAGTAGACGAGGCCAGTTCTGAGCTATAGAGAATTCTTTGCCGCGTGTCTCACTGTTGGGTCTTGCCAAAATGCTCGGTATCCAACTGACCACCATATCTAGGGTGAGGAAGGAATTTCCCCCCAAGTCAGATAGGAAGAGAGCCTGGGGGGGTTTTCTGCCTTCTCTGCAGCATGGGGCACGGGTGATTTGCAGATTTAAACTAGCGTCAATGGTGGATTCTCTGTAACTTGAAGTCTTTAACTCATGATTTGAGGGCTCCAGGAACTCAGCCAGAGGTTAGGGGTAAATTGCAGGAGTGGGTGGGTGAGGTTCTGTGGCTTGCAATGTGCAGGAGGTCAGACTGGATGATCATGATGGTCCCTTTTGGCCTTAAAGTCTATGAGTCTGAGTCATTTATTTCTTTAACAGTAATTGTCATGGCAAGACATATTTTTGGTAGAAATAAAGGTTTGAATTAATCAACCTGAGTGACTTGGACCCCAAGTGCGTGACATTCTCACCCAACAATGAAATAGAAGCATCATCTAATTGTGAACCAATTGGCCAGAGCCACTGGCCTCCCTCAGTCTCAGTGGCTCATCCCAATTTCCATTCCTAGATCCCTTCTAGGTACCTTTGAACTTCCCCAGAGTCTCCAATAGCACAATCGTTTTCTGAGAGAAACCACTGACTCGCTCTTCCAGTTCTGGAGAAATCTCCTCTGGCTGCTGGAACTTCCCCTTCTCACACCTAGAGAGAAACAATTTCACATGATTATATTTCACTGTGTGACTCGTTATAAGTTCTGGCTAGTGAGTCGCTGCTCTAATGGTCCTGGAGTTAGAATCCTTCGACTTCTCCCAGCCTCAGAGCAGGTGCAACACAGCCCATGGCCGTGCAACCATCCCTTCAAAGGACTCATTAATATTCTTCAACTCTGGTCTGGGACAGATCAGCTCTGGGGACAAAAGGGGAATCAAGTCTCCATGGCCAATTCACTCCTTGGCCTCCATGCGCTGAGGGACAGGAGGTTCCCATGTGAAGTGCTGTAGAAATCTGCCCTCTAGAAACTAGACTGAGACACCAACTCCCCGCTCCCCAGCTCATTCCACACAGGCCTCCAAACAGCCCTCAGGTGCGAAAGACTCTTGACCACTGCTGCCCTGGGCTGAATATTGACCAGTGCCCAGCAGTGACAGGCCCATATTGCATCCCCATAATCCTGAGGCAGCCAGTCCCTCAGGGAAGTGACATCTCTAGGAAATACTTGAGGTCAGTCTTTCCCACTGAATGGAGAATTCCAGAGTCTTTTATACAAGGGTGAGAACCTCAGGATGAAGTTGATTAGAGAGATTCGTATCCAACATGTGACCTTCCCCACACATTTGGCTGTAGAGCCCTGGGGAGATGCAGTGCTAACATCACCACCAAGCTCTTTCCCAGCGTTGTGAAGTGTGAGGGGAAGTGAGAGAGAGCCACGTACCTGCTCAAGGTGCTTCTAATATCCTAGAAGAGAGAGAGACAAAAGAATTTCAGTCCCGTCTGACACACACACAGGGGATCCTAGGAAAGGGATATTGCAAATATGGGGAAGAGAGGCCCTGCCCAGGGCCATGGATTCCCTCAGCTAATGGGGCTTTTCCATCTCTCATATCTCTGTGTCTGTGACTCTGCAAAGAATAATAGTTATTCACATGTCAGCAACGGACACGCCGAGTTACACCATGGCCTCTGACTGCTGGACTGCAGTGCTTATGATTCAGGAGCCCTCCCTTCCCTGTGTGGGGATCTGGCATGTTTCTAATGACAGCTGCTGGTTTCCAATTATCCCTGGGGGTGCTCAATCCCACGCCCCACCCCCACCACATCCCTTCCTCCATGCCACACCCCAGCCCAACTCTTCCTGATCCCACTCCGTCTCAACCGCCACCCTGCCTCTTCCCTGCCTCCTCTTGTGAGCACACTCCCTCCCTGCTCCTCCCCCTCCCTCCCAGCGTCCCGGAACAGCTGATCGCAGCAGGTGGGAGGCGCTGGAGTGAGGGGAAGGAGTTGATTGGCAGGGCTGCTGGCGGGCGGCACTGAGCGCGGGAGCTGGCTGCCCTGAAGCACCAACCTATGTTTCTCATTCAGTCTCACCTGCAAAAATTCACTTGTTGGCTTCTGACACTTCCCCTCCATCTCACTGATCAGCTCACTGAGATGGGAAATCTGCTCGGAGAGTTGACTGACATTTTCATTCTGTATCTTCACAATCTCCTCGTCCAGCTTCTCCAGCTGGGCCAGCAGGAGTCGCTCTTGTTCCTCCAGGAACTGCCGCAGTTGCTGAAATTCAGACACAATCTTCTGTCTCTCGGTTTTTGTTTGTTTCTGTATGAAAATAAGGAAAAGGGCTGGTCAGGGACGTGGATGGAGCCCGGGGTCCTTTCACGGAGAGCTGCGTGTGCAGGAGGGAGAATGACTTTAAAAATCCTAGGCAGGGGATTCTCTCACACCTTCCCCTTTGGCCCCTGTATCCCTCTGAAAGGGATGTTTCTATGTCTGTCATGGTCAGCATATTCTGTTATTTATGGTCTCTGGGCATTCAGACCCAGAGCAGCAGGAGGCAGGACTCAGCACTACACTGACAGAGACGCCTGGGGAGTTAAAAGAAACATACATTTGAAAAATGCACAAAATGACCAGACACAGTGGACAGCACTTCACGGGGACATTCAGTTCACTTGGGGAGGATTTCTGGGAAAGCTACAAGGGCTAGGCATTAACTCATCAACTGCAGTGGAAGCTTAGGGCTTGTCTACACATGAATCTAACCCAACAATCCATGATCATGGAGAATCACACATAAGCCCACGTTCACCAAGGCCACACAGGGGTCTGCCTCCAAACAGACCTCCCACTGCCAGTCCCTGACGGTTCATAACAACAGGCACCTACCAGATACTCCCGGCTATTCCTCTCTCCAGTCGCTTTCAATCCCAGCAGCTTTTCTCTCTCTTCCCTCAGAGTCTTCAAATGCGCCTGGATTCTTTCCTGAAGAAACAGAAATGATTTGGGAGGTTTCATCTGGATAGTTGAGAGGTGCTTGGAAGTGGGTGTTTTTCCATCTGAATCCCAAGATGACTGTGATTCTAATCGCTTTGTGACATCAGGGCCACCAAGGAGATGAAACCTCATTAATGGAGACTGGGGATGTGTCACATTCTGATTTGTTACCAGTAGCGGTCCAGCCTTTTTAGTAATTAGAGAGAGATCTCAATTATAACCAAGCTTTACTGGTATTTGTGAATTGATTAGTGGTACAGAGCATAACAGGGCACTGGAAGTCACATGGGGGGGTGAATCAATAAACCTGCTTTGTAGAAGGTTTAACAAACAAAGTGATAAAATTCTCCAACACCACCAGGGTTTCAATATGGGCTGGGATTTCAGCCCTGAACCCCTGGGGACTGCACTGGTTGGGCAGAGCTGGTCTAAGCACCAGGGCAAACCCGATGAGATGTCCGGAGGCCATTTGTCTGGATTGAAGCTGCACAGTCCCAGTGTTGTGGAGCACTATCCCTGTCCGGTAGGGACTCGGCACTGGACGTGGCTTTGTCTGGTGTAAAAGAGAGAGGAGGAGACTGAGGATGCAGGAGGACACCCGTGAAGGTGGGGGCAGGGCTGGGGCGGCACCTTCATGCAGAATGATGCAGGTGGGAACACGGTAAAAAACGGTGGTGGGGCTCACGCGGGGCAACTGATACTGGTGAGGATGGGCCCATGCAGGCAGGCGTGGGCATGTCCTATGTTCTGGGGATGCCTCGGTGACCACCCTAATTAGACATGATGCAGATTTGTATAAAGAACGGGTTGGGGTTTCCCCAGTGCTGTCCTAAACCCTTTCTGTGGCAATGGCCCCTGGGCAGGTACCCCACGGTCCCATTCCCTGGTAAAGATACCAGAAGCAGTGCATTCTGGGAGATTTCAAAAGGCTGCCTGGTGGGACTAATGGAACCACTCTGGCTGGTCCTTGCCCACGTACACAACAGAACAGGTCAGACTGGCACCGGTCAGCTCCAGCCTGGGGTTAGTTTTGCTGCAATCCAGTGTAATCCCAGTGGTACTTGGCATGGACCTGAGCTGTCTGGAGCCCTTTTGTGTGCGGACTGAAGGTGCTCGGGGTCCCAGTGATCTCCTCTAGTGCAGGCCGGCAGCATCTGAGTTTAATCCCTTATGGAGCAGCACAGGAGTTCAGAATCCCAGTGAGAAACCTCCTCTCCCTGCTGGGCCTGGGACCTTTATCAAGGTTTCTCTCCCTCCTAATGGACACACCTCATCACTGGGTGGGGCTGATGCTATGATGGCAGCATGGCAAAGTGCTTTGGGTCTTGGACTGAGATCTGGGTTCTAAGCTAAGCTCTGTCACTGACATGCTGGGTGACTGTGGGCAACTCACTGTCCTGCTTTATGCCTCAGTTTCCCTTCCCACCTTTTGTCTAGCTAGAGCAGTGGCCACCTACCAGTCGATTGCGAATGACTAGTCGATCCTGGAGGCTCTCCCAGTTGATCGAGATCTCTGGCAGTGCAGCAGGGTTGCCCGCTGCTGCTAAGGCAGGCTCCCTGCCTGCCCCAGCCATGTGGCACTCCCAGAAGCAGCCAGTATGCCCCCGCACCCTGGGGTTCTCTGTGCATGGCTCCTTCCTTCAAGCACCGCCCCTGCACATCCCATTGGGTGGGAATGGGGAACTGTGGGCAATGGGAGCTGTGGGAGCGGTTCCTGCGGAGACGGGCAGCACACTTGGAGTTGCAGTTAGCAAGGGACGTGAAGGGTAACAAGAAGGGTTTCTACAGGTATGTTAGCAACAAGAAGAATCATAGAATATCAGGGTTGGAAGGGACCTCAGGGGGTCATCTAGTCCAACCCCCTGCTCAAAGCAGGACCAGGAAGGTGGTCAGGGAAAGTGTGGGACCCTTACAGAATGGGCAAGGCAACCTAGTGACAGATGATGTGGAAAAAGCTGAAGTACTCAATGCTTTTTTTGCCTCGTCTTCACAGAGAAGGTCAGCTCCCAGACTGCTGCACTGGGCAGCACAGTATGGGGAGGAGGTGAGCAGCCCTGAGTGGTGAAAGAACAGGTTAAGGACTATTTAGAAAAGCTGGACATGCACAAGTCCATGGGCCCAGATCTAATGTATCCAAGAGTGCTGAGGGAGTTGGCTGATGTGATTGCAGAGCCATTGGCAATTATCTTTGAAAACTTGTGGCAATTGGGGGAGGTCCTGGATGTTTGGAAAAAGGCAAATATAGGCCCCATATTTAAAAAAGGGCAGAAAGAGAACCCGGGGAACTACAGACCGGTCAGCCTCACCTCAGTCCCTGGAAAAATCATGGAGCAAGTCCTCAAGGAATCCATTCAGAAGCACTTAGAGGAGAGGCAGGTGATCAGGAACAGTCAACATGGATTCACCAAGGGCAACTCATGCCCGACCAACCTGATTGCCTTATATGATGAGATAACTGGCTCTGTGGATATGGGGAAAGCAATGGATGTAATATATCTTGACTTTAGCAAAGCTTTTGATACTGTTTCCCATAATATTCTTGCCAGCAAGTTAAAGAAGTATGGATTGGATGAGTGGACTATAAGGTGGATAGAAAGCTGGCTAGATTGTCAGGTTCAATGTGTAGTGATCAATGGCTCCATGTCTAGTTGGCAGCCGGTATCAAGTGGCGTGCCTCAGGGGTCAGTCCTGGGGCTGGTTTTGTTCAACATCTTTAGCAATGGTCTGGATGATGGGATTAATTGCACCCTCAGCAAGTTCGCAGATGACACTAAGCTGGGGGAAGAAGTAGATATGCTGGAGGGTAGGAATAGGGTCCAGAGTGACCTAGACAAATTTGGAGGATTGGGCCAAAAGAAATCTGATGAGGTTCAACAAGGACAAGTACAGAATCCTGCAGTTAGGACAGAAGAATCCCATGCACCGCTATAGGCTGGGGACCGAATGGCTAGGCAGCAGTTCTACAGAAAAGGACTTGGGGATTACAGTGGATGAGAAGCTGGATATGAGTCAGCAATGCGCCCTTGCTGCCAAGAAGGTCAACGGCATATTGGGCTGTATTAGTAGGAGCATTGCCAGCAGATCAAGGGAAGTGATTATTCCCCTCTATTCCGCACTGCTGAGGCCACACCTGGAGCATTGCGTTTAGTTTTGGTCCCCCCACTACAGAAGGGATGTGGACAAATAAGAGAGAGTCCAGCGGAGGGCAACAAAAATGATTAGGGGGCTGCGGCACATGACTTATGAGGAGAGGCTGAGGGAACTGGGCTTATTTAGTCTGCAGAAGAGAAGAGTGAGGGGGGGGATTTGATAGCTGCTTTCAACTGCCAAAGAGGATGTAGCCCGGCTGTTCTCAGTGGCAGGGCTGGCTCCAGCTTTTTTGCTGCCCCAAGAGGCGAAGGAAAAAAAATGATAAAGCCGCGATCGCGATCGGCAGCAGCTCTACCGCGCCGCTTCATTCTTCGGCGGCCGGTCCTTCCCTCTGAGAGGGACTGAGGGACACGCCGCCAAATTGCCGCCGAAGACGCGGACATGCCGCCCCTTTCCATTGGCCGGCCCAAGCACCTGCTTCCTGTGCTGGTGCCTGGAGCCGGCCCTGCTCAGTGGTGGCAGATGACAGAACAAGGAGTAATGGTCTCAAGTTGTAGTGGGGGGAGGTCTAGGTTGGATATTAGGAAACACTATTTCACTAGGAGGGTGGTGAAGCACTGGAATGCGTTACCTAGGGAGGTGGTGGAATCTCCTTCCTTAGAGGTTTTTAAGGCCTGGCTTGACAAAGCCCTGGCTGGGATGATTTAGTTGGTGTTGGTCCTGCTTTGAGTAGGGGGATGGAATAGATGACCTCCTGAGGTCTCTTCCAACCCTAATCTTCTATGATTTTATGCCCCTCCCAGGGGCCAGAGGGGTGCGTTGGCCCCTTCTGGGAGTGGTGTAGGGCTGGGGCAGGCAGGGAGCCTGCCTTAGCCCCACTGCAACGCTTACCGGGAGCCGCCCGAGGTAAGTCAGTGCTGCCCGTCTGCACCCTGCACCCCATACCCCCTCCTACACCCAGCACCCCATACCCCTTCCTGCACCCAGCACCCCTTCCTGCACCCTGTACCCTCTGCCCCAGCCCTGACCCTCCTCCCAGAGCCAGCACGCCAATAATCTGCCCCAGCCCAGAGCCCCCTCATGCACCCCAACCTCCTGCCCCAGGCTCAGCCCAGAGCCCCATCCCACACTGCAAACCCCACGGCCCCAGCCCAGAACCTGCACCCGCACCCCAAACCCAACCCCCTGCCCCAAACTGGTGAAAGTCAGTGAGAGTGGGGGAGAGTGAGCAACAGAGAGAGGGGGGTATGGAGTGAGCGGGGCTTTGGGGGGGAAGGGGCAGGGCCTCCGGGAAGGGGTGGGGTAGACCCTGCTTTAAAGACTTGATATTTTGCCTCTGTTTCCACACTGCCAGATCATTAATTTTGTTATAAAAAACAACGAGTCCAGTGGCATCTTAAAGACTAATAGATTTCTTTGGGATTAAGCTTTTGTGGGTAAAGACCCACTTCTTCAGATGGATTTCAAATGGACTGAAGGTAAAACACCGGTTGCAGTTCCCCATTGTTTTTGTGGATACAGAACACGGCTACCCCTCTGAATTTTGTTATAGCATCTCCCTGTACAATGAAGACTTTACAGAGCTGAATGATGAGTCACACCTGTCACAGTAACATTTAGTGAAATTAGCCTGTAATTAAAATCCAAAAGTTATTACCCATTAAATTTGACAACAATTCCCTACCTTGTACTCCTGGGCAGCCTCCTGTATGGGAACCACCGTGTGAGCGCGGTGAGCCCGGGATCTGTCGCACACCACACAGATGGGGGTTTCATCCTCTTCACAGAACAGTTTCAGAGCCTCCAGGTGTTCCCCACACACCCCATCCCCTCCTGCTCCCTTTGCTGCTTGTAAACTCAGCCACTTGGCGATTTCTACCATGTTTCCTAACTGCAGGTTGGGCCTGAGGTTTCCCTGTTGCACAGTTTCTCTGCACAGAGGACAGGAGGCGGCTGTATCGGATCCCTCCCAGCACTGGCTAATGCAGGCTCGGCAGAAATTGTGCCCACACTCCAGAATGACAGGTTCTGTGAAATGCTCCATACAGATGGGACATGTAGCTTCCTCCTGGAGACTTTCCACAGGGTTCTCTGCAGCCATGGCTCCCTCTGGGCAGTGGAACAGGCTTTGTTTCAATTTCCTGAATTCACACTATGCCCCGCCTGCAGCAGCAAGGGGGTGTTTCCCTTCCTGAAAATGATTCATGCTGTTTGCTGAGCAGGAAGGACCCAACCAATTTCAGCCCTGGAGGCTTTAGTGAAAAAATGTACCACTAGGGCTCCGGTCCTGCAATCAGCCCCTGTGGTGGTGGGGAGGGTCACTGAGGCCTCCGCCTGTGAGGATGAGCCTGCAGGAGCTGGAGCTGTGTGTCTAAGGCGTGATAGTCAGGCTGGGCAGAATTTTTTTTTAATACTATATAATTTTGACAGATAATGTTTATTTTAAACAATTTTTATATTTATTGATTTAAAGTTTCACAGCTGCACAATAATCTGGGTTTTAAGCATTTCATTCCAATTAAAATTGTCACAGTTGTGGGAAATTATGGGGGGGATCAGACAATATTTTGGTCAGATCAGAACTATTTAATGACACTAGACACTGAGATTCAAAAAGTTGAAGCTTTAGAACTGTTAAAATTGTCTGTGAGCAGGTAAATCTCCTCCCTCCCCCAGCAGCACCTCCAGGGCAATAAGGACCGAGGCTGAAAGTCCATCTGATGGCAGCTCAGGGGCCTGTGGAATGTGCTGGGATCTCAGCCTGGGCCTGTGACGGGTTGGATCACAGAAACCCCCTTGGGAGCTGCCACCCGATGTACAAAGACTACCCCTGCTTCTGTTTTCCCTGCCAGCTCAGGACTCCAACACCCTATCTTGCTGAGCCAGACTGCTCCCATCTGCTCCAACACAGACCCAGGGTCTGAATCACTTGTCCCAAAGCTGCAAGTTTACCTGAAAACACCTCACAGAAGTGTGCTTGTCCTTAGCACTCAGATGCCCAACACCCAATGGGGTCTAAACCCAAATAAATCCATTTTACCCTGTATAAAGCTTATACAGGGTAAACTCATAAATTGTTTGCCCTCTATAACACTGATAGAGAGATATGCACAGTTGTTTGCTCCCCCAGGTATTAATACATACTCTGAGTTAATGAATAAAAAGTGATTTTATTAAATACAGAAAGTAGGATTTAAGTGGTTCCAAGTAGAAACAGACAGAACAAAGTAAGTCACCAAGCAAAATAAAATAAAATGTGCAAATCTATGTCTAATCAAACTGAATACAGATAACCTCACCCTCAGAGATGCTTCAGTAAGTTTTTTCTCAGGCTGGACACCTTCCAGCCTGGGCACAATTCTTTCCCCTGGTACAGCTCTTGTTCCAGCTCAGGTGATAGCTAGGGGATTCTTCATGATGGCTCCTCTCCCCCTCTCTTCTCTTCCACCCCTTTATATATCTTTTGCATAAGGCAGGAACCCTTTGTCCCTCTGGGTTTCCACCCCCCACTGGAAAAGCACCCAGGTTAAAGATGGATTCCAGGTCAGGTGACATGATCACATGTCACTGCAAGATTTCATTACCCACTTGCCAGCACACACATATACAGGAAGACTAACAGGTAAACACAGCCATCTGCAGACAATGGTCCTGGTTAATGGGAGTCATCAAGATTCCAAACCACTATTAATGGCCCACACTTTGCATAATTACAATAGGCCCTCAGAGTTATATTTCATATTTCTAGTTTTAGATACAAGAGTGGTACATTTATACAGATGGGATGATCACACACAATAGATTATAAGCTTTGTAATGATACCTTACAAGAGACCTTTTGCATGAAGCGTATTCCAGTTACATTATATTCACTTCTTATTATGTTTTTATAAAACCATATAGACTGCACAACGTCACAGGGCCCTAGTGGGGCAGGTGTCCCTGTAACACAACCACACCCAGCAAGCCCTGCACCACTTTCTCCCTGTTTGTCAGTCCCAGCAGAGCGACCAGGGACTGCAGGGAGACCAAACTCCTGTCCCCCAGGTGGGGGCGGGGTCCCAATGGCCGAGGGCAGCTGGAGTGAGAGGAGCACGGACTAGGGGCCTGCAGGGTACATGGTGTGTGATAAACAGAGAGCTCTCGGGCCACTTGTCCATTGCGGCTGCAGGAGGGGATGTGGGGACAGACTGAGGAGGCCTGGGGCAGTCTGGGAAGCCACCATCGGGGACGAGGAGAGGGAATTCAGCTGTGGTGGAGGAGCTGTGCTGTGCAGAGATGCTGCTGTGGATGCAGCTAGTTATCCTGGTCTAGGGCTGCAGCAGTTTAACAACGTGGTTAATAGAGACGTTGTAGCTCAGTGGAGTGAAGTGCTGCTCTTTTGTGGTCTCTGCGCAGCTTGAGATTTACAGGCATCGTTCAAACACCTTTCCCCTGCTGCTGTCTCAGGTACCTGGGTCTTCACTCCGCATTGCAGAGCGGAGCAGATTCAATGCATTGGTACAGGGTTATGGAAAGGAAAAAGACTGGAATGGTACATATAGTACCTGTAATTTCTCTGCCCTGGCTGTCGGATGTACCGTGTGCAGCTGGTTACTTAGAGACATTCAGTTGGACAGCTGGGGGGGCCTTTTTGTGTTCTACCCCTTTCTCAATAAATTGTGACTGTAACTTTACCCACTCTGGCCCCTTTGGCATCATTGGGACGCTGAGACCTTTCAGGATCAGGACACTGAATCGTAAGCTTTTCGGGTCTGCTCAGCATCTGCTCAGAGCTCAGCACCATGGGGCCCTCGTCCTCCATAGACTGTAATGTGAAGAGACACACAGGCATTGTATAGATGGGGAAACTGAGGCAGGGAAAGGGCTGGTTCAATAGGCCCCTATTCAGTGGCTGCAAGGGCCAATGCAGAGCTTAGCAGCAGCTACGCATGTTCTGAGCTCCAGCCAGAGCTGCAGCCCTGGCTTAATGGTCCTAAGAGGCTTTGCCAGGGTGCAGCGTATAAGAGGTGCAGCTTCACCCTGGCCACACCCCTCTATCGCTTTCCACCCCTTCCTCCTCCAGCCTCTCCATGCCCCAACCCCACTCCCTCCCGCCCCTCCCAGGAGCACTCCCTGTGCCTGCAGCTGCTGGGGAGGAGGCACAAACAGCCGTGCTAGCCGGCACAGGAGCCAGAGCACAATGATGGGCTGGGTCCAAATGTCAAGAATCTCTTTTGATGTAGGGTCCAAATTTGGGTCCTGACCTAAGTGCTGAGGGGCTGGTTCTCCAAGGGGCTGGGCACCCACAGCACCCACTGACTCCGGCTGCAGCTGCGAATGCAGGTGGAACACGTGCCCTGAAGTCCTGTATTTCGAGGAGATAAACCGAGACACCCACAATTAGGCCACTGCTGTAAATTTAGGCCTTACTGACTTGCCCATTAACAGCAGGACGTGGGCTAAGTTTCATTGTAAGTCTCTGTTTATACTTGGTCACTGCTCGGTCCAATGATTGTAAGCAGCAGAGGTGCCGACCCCATGGGTGCTCCAGACCTCAACCCCTCATGGAAAAAATATAGGAGGAGCTCAGCACCCACCAGCCACAGCTGTTCTGCGGGGCTGCCAATGAGCTGTTTGGTGGCTAGGGGAGGTGCCTGGGGGAGGGCGGAGAATAGCGAGCTGCAGATTGGCTGTGGTTTCGGGGAGGGGTTGGCACAGAGGCGGGAAGAGGCTGACAGAGGGCAAGGCCTTAGGGGAGGAGACAGAGTGGGGTTGGGAAGAGGTGGAGCGAGGGCAGGGCCTCAGGGGAGTGTCCCCCAGTTGTAGTCCAGTAAATGGATGAAGTGGTGCCCCCACCATTGTCTGTTCTCCAGTGTGCTCTCTCTGTTGGTCCTACATGCTAGTGGCTCTCAGCCTTTCTCCAGCACTGTGCCCCTCTCAGGAGTCTGATCTGTCTTGCCACCTTGGCTCACTTAAAAATGACTTGCTTCCAAAATCTGACAGAAAAATACAAAAGTGTCACAGCTACTATTAATGAAAAACTGCTTCCTTTCTCTTTCTTACCATATAATTTTAACAAAGAAATCAATTGGAAATAGGGATTTCAAGTGATTAAAAAAATTAATCCTGATTAATCACATGATTATTTGAACTATTAACAATAGAAAACCATTTCTCTAAATATTTTGGATGTTGTCTCCATTTTCAAATATATTGATTTCAATCACAACACGGAATGCAAAGTGTAGAGTGCTCACTTTATTTTTATTACAAGTATTTGCACTGTAAAGCCCCCAAAATAAATAGTATTCTTCAATTCCCCTATTACAAGTACTGTAGCGTAGTCCCTTTATCATGAAAGTTGAACTTACAAATGTAGAATTATGTAAAAAATACCTGCATTCAAAAATAAAACAATGTAAAATTTCAGAGCCTGTAAATCCACTCAGTACTATTTCTTTTTCTGCCAATCGCTTAGACAAACAAGTTTGTTAACATTTGCAGGAGATGATGCTGCAAGTGAGAAGAGGCAATCTTACGACACTGTCGCAGCCAGAGTTGCAAGGTATTTACATGCCAGATGCGCTAAAGATTCCTCTGTCCCTTCATGCTT